ATTAAAATATTATATATATATATATATATATATATATATTACTAATATGATTAAACAATTACAATATAGTGGTTAGGATCAAACTTTACATCCTGTTTTACATATTGATTTTTGCTAAAGATTAATCTCCCGGTCCTAATGGAGGTTTCAGATCAGGACCTGAGCATGTACGTTTATTTAATGGCTGCTTCAGGAACTTGTACACCCACACAGACACACACACACACACACACAAGAGTACTGCTGGTACAACAGTGTGTGTGTGTTCAGATCTAGTGTAAGCTCAATCTTTGTGTCTAATGAATAATACTGAACAGAATATTACAGAAGCGATTAAGTATATCTGCCTGCAGCTAAATCACTCAATATCAGAATACAGCCAGTGACAGACAGGATGTGTTTGCACTGGATAAGCCGTTTCAAACAAAAAAAATAAATAAATAAAATAAAAAAAAAAAAAATATATATATATTTTTTTTTTTTATCTAATATTTATTTATTTTAATATTATTTTTTATTGTACAAAGAAATAATACAAATAAGATTTAAATAAAAAAATTGATTAACATGAATATGTAAATAAATAATAAATCTAACAGTACTATATAGAAAAACAATGTAGAATACGTAAAAGAACGGGGAAAAAAATTAAAACTCAGTAATGTAACTTAACAGAAACTAGATATTGTGCAAATAATATTTTAGATATATTTATAGTATTTATTTTTCACAGTATAAACAAGAAACTAAATAGATGGCTGTTAAATGTTAGGATGAAGATCGTATCTGGGAGTCTAAAGCACCTAAAGGATTGAAAACCCCTGCACTAGAAAGAGAGATATTGTGTTATTCATAACACATGGTGATCCACAACAAAAGCCACAACAGAACAAAAGGATGAGAAAGAAAAGAGCAAGAGATGAGAAAGTTGCAGTTGCTATGACACCTGTGTTACCACTCCAGCATCTCAGAGTGAGTTTACACCTCAAATCTCATCATATTTATCACTACATGATGATTAAATGTGCTTTAATCACTATATATGAACTCATTTCCTGCACTTTAATACATCATACTGAAGAATATTCATATACCAATACATCTGCATGGTACTCCAAGAATACTACGGTATAACCCTGGAAGCATAACTATGGTACTTATTTGTAGGTGTTGATTCTCCATGACAGAATTTCTATGGGTTTTCTATGAGAGTCACTGTCTGAAGGCGTGATTGATTAGACAGGTCTTTGTTGAAAGCAATGATCTGATCGAATGTATTGATTAACAGACTGTGAGACAAAATGATGTGCATATGCTGGTCTATATGATATTGTGATTGATAATAATCAATAATATGGTTCACCTATATTATATCATGCAGGGGTGTTCTGGGGTCTGTGGAAAAGTTTTGAGAAAATCAGTCTAAAAAAATGAAAATAAAAATAAAATAAAACCAAATAAATAAATATACATGTTTGATTAAAATAAATAAATAGATCAAAATAAAAATTGAATATATTTTGATTTAAATAAATGAGTTGGAGTCAATTAAATACATAGATTGAAATGAAAATAATGTATAAATGGATTAAAATAAACAAGTAGATTAAAATAAAAAAATAATATAAAATGTTATTAAAATAAATAAACAGATTAAAATAAAAAAATTATAAAATTTAATTAAAATAAGTTTGATTAAAAAATTATACTTTTATTTAAATAAGTTTGATTAAAATAAATAAATAAATAAAAATAATATATAATTTGATTTAAATAAATAAATACTACATTTAACAGTTCAGCACTTTAGTGAGTAGAAAAATGTAATAAATGTAACAACATTTAATAAATGTAACATATATATATATATATATATATATAATTTTTAATAATGTTTCACACATTTATAATAATTTTTCACAGTATAAATTGAATCTTTATACGTAAGACACTGCCTTTTAAATTGGGGTCCCTCACACATAGCAGATAATATTTGGGGGTCCTTGCATCTAAAATATTGAAAACCCTCTAAGGAAGTGATGTCATTATGAACATCTTGACATCATCTTTGCTTATTTTGATATACTATAGTCAAGGATGTGAAACCACTAGAAGTCCAGCACATGACATGTGACTGTGTTGGGTGTAACAGTATCCTTGTTGGAAAGGTTTCAAATACCAGCACACACGGACACACCTGTCTATCAGCAGCCGCTGCGTGCGGAAACACACAATGCTGATGCAGTTATTCTGCATTAAACAGCCATATGGCCACAATCACAAGTGATGATACTCACATATGCCACCCAAGACACCGGCCAGTTTGCAGATCCAGCGGTACCACCAGGACATGCCATCGTCATCCGTGCCGGTTTTAGTTGGAGCTGCCGCCTCCTCTGAGCTCATTTTCCACCGTTAAATTATTCAGACTCCCGGTGTCTCACTTACAACTCACCGGCAGCTGCAGTACCAGCGGCGGCCTGAGGGCGTCGCTTTTTCCCCGACGAGGACAATGGCTGGAAAGTACAACTGATTGTAATGTCAACCGAATAAACAAATTGCGTAATAAAGTTATCAAACAATCGCCATTCAAAAATATCACTGAAAAAAAAAAAAGATTTTAAAATCGACCTGGATAAAAATAATGCTGAAAGGACACTGGTGTGGCGTTATTTATCTGGTCTTATTATGGTGTTCTAGAGGCAGAAGGCAGCAACACATCAAAATCCAAACCTCTCAGGATCGCTGTCGAATTTCGTCTTCTTGAAAAAATCTCGAGTCAAAACGGGCCGCTGAATCGGTGTCCTCAGAGTAAAATAATCCTCGGCGTAATGTCAGGTTAATTTAGTAGAGCTTTTGCTCCTCTTGTCTTGGAGGTTCCCTGGTCTGCGTTTGCATTGTGGGCGGAGCCAGTAATGCGTCACTGCGCGTATGGCGCGTCAGGAGCATCAAACGCAACAGCATTTGCGCAGTCAGGACTATAGGTTCCATGTGACGTCACTGTGTTTTATCGCCGCAATTTTTGTGTCCGCTGTCCGGTCACAGCTGCGCTACCTGTCTTAAGTATATGGTTACAGCTGTCAGAGAAGGATTAAAGAAGCACTCACAGAAGGATCACAAAAATTACAACATGCCCGGTATATGTTGTGCTGTTGGGTGTAACAACAGTCGTCAGAGAAACCCCGAACTACAATTTTACTCAATCCCAAAGGAGTTAGATCGGCGGAATAAATGGTTGGCATTAATCAGAAGGGACCACTGGCAACCAACATCTAACTCCAGATTGTGCAGTCAGCACTTTGTCTCCGGTAACATTTTTTAGCTCCCTTTTTCAGAAAAACAATTAAAAACACTTAAGCACAACTTTGCCATATAATTAACGTTAGCAGTGACATCATTCAAACATACTATGGGCTTATTTGCATTATGCTAATGTTAACTAAATTAACATTAAATTCAGATTGTGTAGTAAGCTAGCTAACGTTTCTATCATTGACTCAAATGTGTGTGTTTTGAGCTGATGTCGGTTTTAAGTTTACAACCAATCAGGACTTTACATTATTACATTATAACTGTTACACTTGCCGTACCTATGTTAGGATCCTAAAATTGCAATCAAGTCTAAGGCTTACTGAGGAAAATGGTAGTAAAAGCCAAATTACTTGTGTAATCATTGTCAGGTGTGGCATGGGATAATATTAATGTTGAAGTTCTCAGGAAATATATTGACAGTGAGTAGGTATGTGTTTAAAAGTGTTCGACAGCACAACTTTGATACCGTTTTAATACAGTCTAATAATACTTTTAATACCGTCTACTATTACTGCTAAACAAAAACAACTTGCCCCTTTTAGACTTGCACTCTATTTATTTACTAACTGCTTGTTTTCTTTAAAACTAAAAACGAACACTAACAAATTAAAGTAAAAACTGACAAATTAAAGTAAATACATCAAAATATTAAAATAAAATAATATATTATTTGAATTAAAGAAAGAAAGAAATACTACATCTAAGAGTACTATAGTGAGTAGAAACATGTAATAAATGTAACATAATATAAACTATCTATCTATCTATCTATCTATCTATCTATTCGGTTGTATAATGTTATTGTTCTCTGATTCATTAACAAATAAATAAATAAATAAAAGCCCATTCGGAAAAAAAGGCTGACGTCAGCGAATCGAACCATCGCGAGATCTTGTGGTTTAGCTTTAACACAGATCTCCAAAATATATGTCGGCCTTCACCCTGTTTTTACTCAATGTGATGTGGTTTACAGATCTACAGATCATATTCGATTTTCAGCGGCTGTGGGAAGTTTGTTGCCAGGCGTCTCTGCGTTACACGAAGCCGAACCTCGCGCAGGGACCAGCAGCAGAACTCTGAACCGGACAGACAGGAGACCATGAGCTTCTTATTGTGAGTTTGACTCTGTGATTTAGATGAATATTTATAGATAAGTATCAGTTTACTCCTTTAGCTCGTCTTGCTAAAGAGCTGGTTGAGTTTTTGAACCGAGTTGACCTCAGTTCTGCGCGTGCAGTTCGTTAAATGTGTCAGTATTTCAACTTGACAGTTGCGTTAAAATTGGGCATTTTTCACGCAAATGCTTCGGTATCGAGATCAGCCCTACTCTGGCACATTAGCCCCGGTTTCTTGGCTCTCTGATGTGCTGGACTGGAAGGGGGGCAGATCTTATGTAATGCATGTTTGTTTCACACTGTGCTCTTCAAAAAGCGCATTGTGTGTCACTTTGTATCAGAGATCAGAGAGTTGCATGGTGTGTAAAGCCTGTGATGCATCCAAAGTTGGAAAATCTTCTGAATACAGGCTGTATGCTGAGAAGCTGAGCTGTTGATGAAATTGCATGAAATGCAATTGTTAGCAGGCAGTGCAACTGTCATATGAATTACTTTTTAAATGACAAAAATGTTTTTATCTACCCAAAATGATGATTCATTTAGTTTAACAGCATTGCATCATTCTAATCGCATCATTTTGGGAGGGAACAGGGTGTATGTGCTTTCTCTGTAATTACTTTAAAGAACATGTTTGCCTCTTACAAGAGGAAGAGAGTGAGGAAATCTCAAATGCAGAACATCTGATTCTGTAATCTGAAGTCTTGGCAGGAGTTGTTTGTTATGATGCGTCATTCTGAAATTGAATTTACTGATAAGGATGTCTAGAACCATTAGAGAAGTCCGTCATAAGAAAACCAGCCTCCTCAAAACAGCTGAGACTGATTTCATTTGGAAACTATCGTGAAGTGCTTGTGATGGCTCACCGGAAGCATGTGATTTCGGAGAAGTTAAGAACAAACGCAGACATGTGATGTCATTGCCATTGTGATGTTTGTGAAGCTGAATTGAAGTGTGTAATCCTTTGATTGGAACCCGATAAACTACATGTCTGTGTCTTTAGATTTGCTTTGTAAATCAGATGAGAAATATGTAAAAAACAAAAAGTGACATTATAACACACACACACATGCTTATAACAATCCTGATTAGGTGGTATTTCGTATAGACTATTTTGACGTTCTTTAAAGAAATGAAAGAAAATGTACTCACCCTCAGGACATCCAAGATGTAAATGAGTTTTTTCTTCATCAGAACAGATTTGGAGAAATGTAGCATTACATCACTTGCTCACCAGTGGATCCTCTGCAGTGAATGGGTGCCGTCAGAATGAGAGTCCAAACAGCTGATAAAAACATCACAATAATCCACACCACACCACACCAGTCCATCAGTTAATGTCGTTTGCAGCAAAAAAGCTGCTTGTTTGTAAGAAACAAATCCATCATTAAAACATTTTTATCCTCTATCTGTAGTATTGCTTTCCCCACTGAAAAAGTCTTAATCAGGAGAGAAATATGCACTGATCAAGCACAGTTTAAGTGAAAATGGTCCAAAACAGTTCTAAACAAATATGTCGGTGGATTTTGTTGTGAGAGGACAAAAGTCCTCCAGACTTTTACACTGGAGGAAGTGTTTTTATGAATTATGGACTTTTACTTTGGGACAGAAACAACAGTTTAAAGTTAAACCGCCTCGATGGATTTGTTTTGTACAAACACTCAGCTTTTCTCTTCACAAGACATTCACTGATGGACTGGAGTGGATTATTGTGATGTTTTTATCAGCTGTTTGGACTCTCATTCTGACGGCACCCATTCACTGCAGAGGATCCATTGGTGAGCAAGTGATGTAATGCTACATTTCTCCAAATCTGTTCTGATGAAGAAACGAACTCATCGACATCTTGTATGGCCTGAGGGTTAGCAAAGTTTTGGCAAATTTTCATTTCTGGGTGAACTTTCCCTTTAAGTGCATTTTCTGTTCCATCTCCTCCAGTGGGAATCGTTCGTCTAAGACGTTTAAGCCGAAGAAGAATATTCCCGAAGGTTCTCATCAGTATGAGCTGCTCAAACATGCTGAAGCCACGCTGGGCAGTGGGAACCTGCGGATGGCCGTCATGCTTCCTGACGGAGAAGATCTGAATGAATGGGTGGCTGTCAACAGTAAGAACCAAGAGTGACATCATATTTATTAATTATCCCCACACACACACACACACACCCACAAACTGATTCATTTGTTCTGTTTCTAGTGTGTTTTGTTATTGCAGATGGTTTTCTTGTTTCTCTCTATGTGTTCAATTGCTTTTCTCATTACCTTCTTAACAACTTTGACCCTTGACCTATTGATGACACCAAACCGGACCCATCCTGTCCTGACAGATCACCCAGTCATTCCCAAGAGACCCTGTGTCCATTGCAAAATTACTAACACACCTCCCCCAACATGCACACACATCCAGCAGGATCCAATAGTTTGAGACTTCTAGTGAAATTGCTGCTGTTTTGTGTTCCTTTGCAATTTATAAAATTTGTCAAGAAAAATGAGGATAATCATCATTGTGGAAAGTTTTAAAAATGAATACGGCTTTCACGATTGTCTTAGTATCTCATTTGTCTTTCTAATGACATCAGCACCGGAACCGACAGGAACAAAACCTAATGATCATGTGCTCCAGCATGATTTGAGATGGTTCATGAGCATCTTGTGTGTCAGTGGAAGCAAGCACATCTGACTGCCTGTGCCAATACCAATTAATAATCAAACAAAAAAGATGGAAAACAAACTAGAACTTCTGATTATGCACAAAATAATAATGAAGTTAAATGTTTCTGTTTGGTTGTTTCTGCAGCGGTGGATTTCTTTAACCAGATTAACATGCTGTACGGCACCATCACGGATTTCTGCTCGGAGGACAGCTGTCCGCTCATGTCTGCAGGACCAAAGTGAGTGTGTTTGGACAGTGAGGAATGAATGATCGTGTCTCTCTTTGTCTCTGTATTACTCATCTCTTTCCCTTTAGATACGAGTATCACTGGGCAGATGGGACCAACATTAAGAAGCCTATAAAGTGCTCGGCTCCCAAGTACATTGATTATCTGATGACGTGGGTTCAAGACCAGCTGGATGACGAGACCCTGTTTCCTTCTAAAATAGGTACCTGCTGCAGAGATATTTTAGTTTCATTGAGATACTAATAAAAATAGTTTTTTGTGGTTTATATATATATATTAACCTCATCCGTCTCACCTGTCCAGGTGTTCCCTTCCCCAAGAACTTCATGTCTGTGGCCAAGACCATCCTGAAGCGTTTGTTCAGAGTTTATGCTCATATATATCATCAACACTTTGACGCGGTCATGCAGCTTCAGGAGGAAGCTCACCTCAACACGTCTTTCAAACACTTCATCTTCTTTGTGCAGGTGCTGTCACTGCTTTATTCTTATTATGAACGTCTTTAAAAGCGCCTGCACAAGCAATAAACCACAAGAGGTATTTCAGAGTCCCTAAAACATGGCCTAAAAGTGGCTTACAGCTTTTATTATATGGCAGCAATAGCAATCTGATAAAAGATAGCAATTAATAATCAAAATAACTAATTTATTAGTCTAAATGTAGGCTTCTTACAGTTGTCAAGCAACTTGCTGCATTTAATATAGAATTCAAATGATATGGGGTCAGCAGTTTGTGTATATTGTCTGTAAAAATGCTTTTGTGATGGTCATAAATTTGTGTTTTAGCTGTTGCATTGCTCATCTAACTATATTGAAATTAACTCTTAATTGAAACAATTTTTTTGGGAAGAAATTAATACTCAATTATTCATGATGGATGCATTAAATTGATCAAAAGGGACAGTAAAGACATTTATATTGTTACAAAAGATTTCTTTAAATAAATGCCGTTTTCCCCAAAAATATTAAGCAATATTAAGCATAACTGTTTTCAACATTGATAATAATCAGAAATGTTTCTTGAGCCGCAAATCAGCATATTAGAATGATTTCTGAAGATCATGTGACACTGAAGACTGGAGTAATGATGCTGAAAATTCAGCTTTGATCACAGGAATACATTTTTAATACATTTTACAATATATTCAAATAAAAAAACGGTTATTTTAGATTGTATCAATCTTGATATTTGATCAAATAAATGGAGCCTTGGAGACTTCTTTCAAAAACAATAAAAATTCTTACCAATTCTTAACTTATGAACTGTATTCTTGAATTTTCAATTAATTCAACAAATTATTTTGTACATTTTTAGGAGTTTAACTTGATCGACCGTAAGGAGCTGGCGCCTCTTCAAGAGCTCATTGAGAAACTCACAACAAAAGACAGATAAACTGAGACAAGGAGGGGAAAAGAAGTTAACAATGAAGAAACCGTGATCTTGCTCTCTCTTCTGACTCTCCCTTCTATCTTTTGCTTTGTACTGATGATTTTAACCCCACAGCATTGCTAGGTGAACCGTAGTGAAGTAAAGGAACAGCACAATACTAATATTTCTAAATGGATCAAACCTGATTTTTGGCATTTGATGACAAAATGTTGCCTGATGAAATGGTTACATATGATTTCAAGTCCTTCACATTATTGGTTTAGTTCGGTCACTGAAAGGGAGGGATTTTGTCCTATGAGGATTGAACTTAGTACAGACTACAGTGATCCGGTATGGTGCCTGTGTTAGCAGTGAATAGGTGATTCGCTTTCTTTGACTAGTGTGAATGTTAAAGCAGCACTATGTAACTTTTGGCGCTCTAGCGGTTAATAAACAGAATAAACTCCGCAGCGGTGACGACCTGACCAGGCTAAAATAGTCCAAATATAAGCACTTATTATAAGTGTACCGTAGTGACTCGGAATAAAATAAAAACGCGGTTTGGAAGATAAATTCATGATGTACTCGCTCATTATATACATTTAGCAAATTATGAACACAAAAAGTTACATAGTGCTGCTTTAAAGGACGTTTGATTCTTCAATGCTGTAATGCTGACAGCAAAAAGATGGAGTTAAATAGCTTAAGTCAGTTTTCCTATGCAATAATGATCTTGTTATTTGTCTTCACTAATGTTACTGGACAATATTGTTTCTTCACAATATATTTCATATTTAATATCGGTCACTATGAAGTATTTGAGCCAGGTTTTGAATAATAAATATGACATGTTGGACCCAGATGGCTGATGGGAAGTGTTGGTCTTGAGTTTATATCTTCTGCCATGCGTCCTCAAGAGACAAAAAGAGATGTATGGTAACAGCTCAGAGTCTCTGGTAAGATATTTGTTTTGCTCGAGCCACAGCTAGTTTGTCATAAAGCATTGAATTCGTGCAACTGGGTTGCCAAACTTTTCTTAAATATTTAAACCTGTTGAATTATTAAAGCATTTCAGTTGTACCCATTCGAAATATACTTACTCATACAGTTCTTAAAATATTCAGTATCTTTATTGTTTGGTTGTATTGGTTGTTAAGGTTAGAAATATTCAGCATTCGGTTCTGAAGTAAATGATTGTGGGCTTTTCTTCTCTACCTCCATTTTAACTTTTTTTTCCATATCCGTTTTATTAACATTTTGAAGTTATTCATGTTGTTTCACGAATGTAATAGTTTTACTTCTAATGGTTTGGACTATGCCATAGTGTAAAACAGTGCCAACCGCTGATTACACTCTAAAAAATGCTGGGTTGAATACAACCTGGTGCTGGGTAAAATAGGGACAAACCCAGCAATTGGGCTGTTTTGACCCAGCGGTTGGGTTAAATGTTTAACCCAACCTTCTGGGTAGTAACCCAACCGCTGGGTCAAAACATCCCAATTGCTGGGTTTGTCCATATTTTACCCAGCACTGGGTTGTATATAACCCAGCATTGTTTTAGAGTACAGGATATGTCTTTTTGTTTTTATTGTTTTTGCCATTTCTCTCTTTCTCACTGTCTTTGAAATATAAAATAGCTATTTCAGTCTAATGTTTCCAAAATCCAAATACGTTTTAACCAGTTTGTGCATTATTTGTGTTAGGGGTCAAGAAAGGTCACTGAATAGCAAGATGTTTTTTTGGGGGGGAATACATTAGTCTTGGCTTTAGTGTTGATGTGAGTTTATGTGCCTTTCAAAGAATCAAACATATAGGGTTTATTACTCAATAAAAAGAAATACGACCTCAATATCACTCAGTTTGGAAATAAAGCATTAATCAAGCAGGTTTGCAAGGCACTATTCTTTGTAAAGCTGCTTTTGTTTTACAGCCATTCGTTCTCATTAATTTTTAAAGTAATAATAATGAAGTGTTGTGTGTGTAAAGCACATGAGGCTTGAGAGCAGCTGTTTCCGGTGGGAGGAGCTTGACGTTTAAGCGCCAGAATTTAAGAATTTAATGTCCCGCCTGTTTCTCTGCTAACTGACTGTAACTGTACCGAGTGTTATTGTACATTTCTGCAATATTGCATGAAGATAAAATGTCTCCCACTGCCAAACGAGCCTGTCCCAGTCCTCTGAACGACAGCCTGGAGAAAAGACTGAAACGCATCTCCATTGAAGGAAACATTGGTAAATCATTCGTTGTTTTTTGTCAGTAGTGTAAGCTTATTTCATTGCTGGACATAACCATTGAACGCTACAAATCCAGCTTTTATGAGGTTAACATTGCTTTTCACAGAGATTTATGCTAATACGATAACTGTTCTTACTTTTATGAAGAAAATAAATATTTATTGATATATATATATACATATCCTGTTTCGATACGACCTTGACGTTGACGAACATTTCCTGTTATGATTCATGATTTTTGTTTTTATTATTTTATTTTGAAAATATTTGTTTTAATGCATATTTTGCATATTAAAAACTTGCATTTTGCTTTTTAAAATCTAAAAATAGTGTCAGAAAATAGCGGAAGTTGGCTTGTCGATAGTCGTAAAACATCTCGTATCCTGCTTAACGGCTTTTTCCTGCATTTTCTGAGAGGTTTTTTTGACTGTTGCTGAAGAAATTTCTATCGTTTATTCTTGTGATATTTATTAACGTGTTTAAATATGATTTTCCTGGTCTAGCCGCAGGTAAATCCACTTTTGTTCGCCTGCTGGATGAACATGATCGAGAATGGGAGGTAGTACCGGAACCCATCGCTAGATGGTGCAATGTACAAACTCACCACAGCGAGCATGAGGTACAGTCAACATAACCAGTATACACATTTTATATTGTAATATAAAAAAATATATAATTCTTTGCGACCTCCCAAAATGTATTAAATAATTAATTAACTTATAAAATCTGTATGGATGTCTTATTGGAGAACAAAATGTCAAACCAAGTGACGTTTATTTTAAAGAAAGTTAGCACAGACACCCTTTTCAAGCACTTTTCTGTTAAAAGTAATTCCCAGCATGGCTCATTTCTGAGTGCAGATGGCACTTGCTTTGATGTTTTGTTATCTACACTGACATTCAGACACAAGTATCAATATTTTTGTGGTCACTGTACGCTACATGTTTGTCTGAGTATGATAAGCAGGCCTGTAATCCAGCGCTGGCTCTGGCAAACACTGTCGTCCCCCGGGAATCAGCAGATGGTTTAGTCCTTAACAGCTGAGCACTCCACCAAAACAGAGAAATACACTGTTCACACACTTACTACTGAGAAATACACTGTTAGATCAATTAAACCTTAATTGGAGTTCATGTTTCCTGCAGGAGAGGCCTTGTCTCGCTTTTAAATGTGTCAAGAGGCTGGTCTTTATGACTCATGGTGGACATGAAAGGCATTTGACCCATTACTGAAGTCTCAATTAAACCTATATTAGCACATTCGTTTTCACATTCTGGTTGTAAAACAGTGTGGAACATGTTTATACTGTGTAGTTTAATATGAAATGTTCTGAGAAAAAGCATTATTTATTTGCAGATGCAACTTGGTTTGATATTTTGTATCTAATGCAATGAAATTCGGCTATTAAATGGACAGAAAATATGATAAATGTGTATATGCAATCACTCAATGACAGAGATCGAGAGAGTGGGTTTTTAGATGTGCAATAGTGTGGATATAATTAAAATATCTGATTATGGTCACTTCAGTTGAACATACTGTAAGAATACACTCTAAAAAATGCTGGGTCAAAACAACCCAATTGCTGGGTTTGTCCCTATTGTACCCAGCACTGGGTTGTGTTTAACCCAGCATTGTTTAGAGTGTAATATCAGACAGATGTGAAGTATTTGTAAAGCTTTTTTGTCACTGAAATGAGGATATATTTTCCCTGAACTGTAACATAATGAGGGTAGATTAGATATGTAAATACATGATGCACACGATTTCCTGATATTGTTCTAGTTTACATGAATAAAAATATCACTGATGGTATTTTTGCTGTACATAAAGCAAATAAAACCCTTCTCAACATTTTATGTATCTGTATGTTTTATATTTATATATTATATCTGGCTCTGGCAAACACTGTCGTCCCCCGGGAATCAGCAGATGGTTTAGTCCTTAACAGCTGAGCACTCCACCAAAACAGAGAAATACACTGTTCACACACTTACTACTGAGAAATACACTGTTAGATCAATTAAACCTTAATTGGAGTTCATGTTTCCTGCAGGAGAGGCCTTGTCTCGCTTTTAAATGTGTCAAGAGGCTGGTCTTTATGACTCATGGTGGACATGAAAGGCATTTGACCCATTACTGAAGTCTCAATTAAACCTATATTAGCACATTCGTTTTCTAAATGTCACTGTCCCCTTGCTTTCTGTGAAGCAGACTAATCACACTTTAACAGATGATTTATAATGTCTATATCTGTAATGTGTCTTTATATTAAGAGTTTATCAGTCCTTGCATTGTGCAAACTATTGCATCGGTGTTATTTTAGATTTTTTTTAGGGATGCTATTATAGTTTTTATTAATATTTTAAATAATTCTTTATTTTTATATTTTTTTATTGTTTTTAATGATCATGCATTTTTTTTAATGTCTATATAGTTTTAAATATTTTTTTCATTTTAGTTTTAGTACATCAAGTTAAATTAAGTGAAAATAAGAAATGTTGCCTCAGCAGCTAACTGAAATAAAATAATAAAGTTTTTTTTTTATATGTATTTTTTAAAATTTATTTCAAGTAACAATTTTTTAAAATGGTTTTTAATAGCTAACTATAATAACCCTGTATTGCTTTTAACATAGGTTTAAAATTGGGATGTGTAAATTAACCATGTTGATCAATATTGGATATTTAGTCTTTTAAAATGTAACAATATATAATATTATATGATTTATGTATATAAATCTATACATATATAAGATGTAGGTATATATAGACCATTAATAATTAGAATATAAAATAAACATACAAAAAATAACAATAAAATTAATTGATCAATATTTGTATATATTTAACAGCCATATTATATATATATATATACATACATACAGTCGTGGCCAAAAGTATTTTGTGGTACATTTTGTACAAGTACATTTTGTGTTTTGCTAAATTTACAGCTTAAGCTGTTATAGTGTTTATTCACATTGTTTCTAGATTGTTACTGCCAATACATGTAGAAAAAATGTGAATGAACACCACAACGGTTTAAGTAGCAAATTTTGCAAAACACAAAATTTGTGTCACTGCCAATACTTTTGGCCACAACTGTATATAAATATATATATAATTATCTTATGAATTTCTGTGTGGAATTGACATACAAAGATTTGATGCCTAACAAATGTAGACCAATATAACGTGTATGTATACGTTCAGGAATTGACAACCTCTCAGAAGAGTGGAGGAAATGTGCTGCAGATGATGTACGAGAAGCCCGATCGCTGGGCCTACACCTTCCAGAGTTACGCCTGCATGAGCCGCATCCGCTCGCAGATCAGATCCACCAACGGAAAACTGCGAGAGGCCGAGAATCCAGTGCAGTTCTTCGAACGATCCGTGTACAGCGACAGGTAGACTGCACCTGGTATTAATATCCGTTATCAAACAGGACATGCATCTGAAATGCATCTCCTCCTTTCATTGATGAAGGGTCTGTGATTGTTATACAACCGTCATTATGTCACAAAGTCAAATAAATAGAAATATCAACTAATCGGCTTACTTTAATCACTTTGATTGGTGTGTTGCAGGTACATCTTTGCCTCTAACCTCTATGAAAGTGAGTGTGTGAATGAAACCGAGTGGGCGATCTATCAGGACTGGCACAGCTGGCTGCATAAGCAGTTTGGGAAGCACATTGAGCTGGACGGCATCATTTACCTGCGGGCAAAACCAGAAGTATGAACGCAAACCCAGATGGGGCCTTTAAAGTGATTCTGCTGTGCTGTGAAAAAGAGTAAACAAGGCCATTTTGTGTTACAGAGGTGTTTGGAGCGATTGTATTTAAGAGGAAGAGACGAGGAACAGGGAATTCCACTGGAATATCTGGAGAAACTCCACTATAAACATGAGAGCTGGCTACAGCACAGGACTATGAGGTAACACACGCACTACATAACACCAGCTATTATAATATCTTCACTCATGGAAGTACCAAAGTATCACTATGTTTGACATCCTTATAAAAAAAAGTTGTTTTAAATTATTATACATTTATTTTATTTTATTTATTAATAAATATGATGATAAATATATTTATATGTAATATATTTACTTTTTTAAGAATGTAAAATGTAGCACGATCATACAAAAATAAATTATTTAAAACAAAAACTATATATATACACGCAGATATAAAAAATAAAAGTTTAGTTTAACGTGAAGAAACTGTGACAGAAATATATTACTATTGTGCATTCTTAAGACTCAGTGTAACAACAATACTACTACTACTAATAATAAATATTTATAAAACTTGATTTTTTAAAGGAATAATCACATTTGTTTTATTTTTAATTTTAACAGCAAACTGTTGTGCAGCACTGTCTGCCAAAAAAATAAAAGGGTTTAATTTTCATTTGATTAGGATAAATTATATTAATGTTTTATGCCTTCATCTGCTTACCAGAAAAACATTTTATTGGGTCCTATTGTTGTTTTAAAAAAAAAGGACCTAAAAAAAAAAAAAAAAGGATTTAAATTCATTAATTATTAAAAATAAATGAATTATACACCCTGTGCGTGTGTGTGTGTGCAGTATGGAGTTTGAGTATCTGAATGAAGTGCCGGTTCTTACCCTGGATGTCAATGACGATTTTAAAGATGACAAGATCAAGTGTGCTGATATGATCGAGAAGGTATGACACACACAGTAGAAAAAAAAGTGAATTCTGTTGTTTTTTACTTGCCCTCATTATGTTTGCTAGTTCTTGGAATGACATGAGGGTGAGTAAATGATGAATTTACATTTTTTCGTTAAGTTAATCTAGCATATCACCCAGAGCATGTGTTGAGTGAACATTTGAACGATGTTTGTCAAATGTGGCGGAACTAAAGTTGCATCTTATGATGAGGGTGCAATACAGGGACCATTATATACTCTAGAAATTGCATATTATACATGGTTTATACTCTAGACACACACAGGTTGTAGTTTCATACATATTATACCCACTGTGGAACACACACCCTTTCTTTGCATGCACATGGATGCTTTACACAGTGCAGTAATAAATGTACTAAAGTGAAATATGAGGACAGTTTCAGTTTAAAAGTTGATTTAATATTTTTTTTGTCTTCCCCAGGTGAAAGAATTTCTGAGCACCCTGTGATTACGATGAGAAAAGGTGCATGTTGGACAGAATAATTTAACATTGTTTTTTTTGTTTTTTTAAACCATGAACTTTTGTGTGAAACAGCAAAATATGAAAGTAGTGTCCATTTAGTGCTTATCAATGTTTTTTTGTAATTTAAGTTTGTTTACTTCTGATGAATTAAATAAAAAAAATTATAATTTTAAAGAACAAATATAAGTCTTCTGCTCACCAAGGCACCATTTATTTGATCAAAACACAGTAAATACAGTAAAATCAGTAATATTGTGAAATATTATTACAATTTAAAATAACTTTTCTATTTGAATATATTGTAAAATTTAATTTATTCCTGTGATCAAAGCTGAATTTTCAGCATCATTACTCCAGTCTTCAGTGTCACATGATCTTCAGAAATCATTCTAAAATGGTAATGTGCTGCTCAAGAAGCATTTCATAGTATTCACTGTTGAAAACAGCTGTGCTGCTTCATATTTTTGTGGAAACTGACATTTTTCAGGATTTTTTGATGAGTATGAAGTTCAAAAGAACAGTTTTTTTTTCGATAGAAATCATTTGTAACATTATAAATGCCTTTACTGTCACTTTTGATCAATTTAATGCATCCTTGCTGAAAAAAAAAAATATATATTGATTTTTTTTTTTTTTTTTTAAATCTTACTGACCCCAAACCTCTGAACAGCAGTATGTGTTTGGAAAAAAAAAAAGAAGCCAAACAAACACTTAAAAATAAAGGTTCTTTATTGGCATCTGTGGTTCCATGAAGAATATTTAACATCCATGGAGTCTTTCTGTTCTGCATAAGATTCTTTATAGTCAAAAAAGGTCCTTTAAATTTTGTTAATGTTCTTCACACTTAGAAAAAAAAGTTTGGTTTTTTTTAGAACTGTTCACTGAAAGTTTCTTTGGGTAACCAAAATTGTTCTTCTATGGCATTGCTGTGAAAACAGCCTTTTGGAACCTTTATTTGTTAAAATTAATAAGAAAAAAATGATTTATGCTTGCTTGAGGTATTAGGCTAATTTAGATTTTGAAGACTTTGTATTGCACATACAAAAGTGATACTCTTTGTTCTTTGACTTTCTTACAGGTACATTGTATAATTCATCTGTTTAATTTTTTTCTCATATCTTGTCCAGGAGGGTCTGGTTCCCTTGATGAGTGCACGATTGTTTTCTGATCTCAGTGAGAAGATTCGTAAGGTTCTGGAATCCTACTTTGGTCTGGAATCACCCCTATATATCTCCAGCTCAAACCTGATCTGCCGATCTGCCATCGGTAAACTGACTTTTCCGTCAGTCCGTATTATTTTTGCATCTTGAACACAGACCTATTTAGTTCTTAAGCAAGCATGTGTTGGTCTCTTTCATACCAGAGAAACAGGAAGAGCGCACAGACTGTCTGCTTATCTCAGAGCTCAACAGCTGTATCAAAGAGGTGTCAGCATACAGCGATCAAGGCTACAGGTTTGCTGCTTGAGGAACCAGTGAAGCATCATGGTTATTAAGTTTATAGTGTTTTCACTAATGCATTCTGTTTTGCTTTGTAGTGCCATTTTGTACCTCAATGACGACTTTGAAGGGGGAGATTTTATCTTCACTGAATCGGATGCCAAAAGCGTCTCTGTAAGATTTGTAAATGTTTCACATTATTTTTATTCAAACTAGTGAGCTGTGTAGAGGAGTAACTAAGTAAAATCAGTGACGCTATTTTCATGACTTGGAATCTTTATCTGTCATTGGGAAGTCTGATTCATTTTAGCAAATCAGTTTGTTCAAACAGTTCATTTCAATTAATCAATTAAACTAATTCAATTTCTAACTAAATAAATACTGTTGTTTATCACTGTGTTTTTGTTTCCTGTATGTAGAGTCAACTTTAATTAATCTAGTGTAAATTAACTGCAGTGTAGTTTGAAAAACTAGTTTCAAAGTAGCTTCATTTTAGACTTGGTCTGTGTCCATGTGGCAGCATGTTCTACTAATTGTGTTGTTAAAATGTGTTGTTGTGGCATGGATTTTCTAAAATGGACAAAGCTGAATTTTCAGCATCATTACTCCAGTCTTCAGTGTCACATGATCTTCAGAAATCATTCTAAAATGGTAATGTGCTGCTCAAGAAGCATTTCATAGTATTCACTGTTGAAAACAGCTGTGCTGCTTCATATTTTTGTGGAAACTGACATTTTTCAGGATTTTTTGATGAGTATGAAGTTCAAAAGAACAGTTTTTTTTTCGATAGAAATCATTTGTAACATTATAAATGCCTTTACTGTCACTTTTGATCAATTTAATGCATCCTTGCTGAAAAAAAAATATATATATTGATTTTTTTTTTTTTTTTTAAATCTTACTGACCCCAACTTTTGAACAGTAGTGTATATATATGCAACAATTGTGCTTTAATCAAAGCATTCTTTGTGTGGCTTTAAAGGAATAGTTTACCCAAAATCAGCTGAATCATCATTTACTTTCCCTCATGTCTTTTCAAGCCCGTATGCTGGAGCTGCATGAGGGCGAGTGAACACTTGAGAGTTTTTGGGAAAGCTGTTCCTGTAAATGAGCGCAGGTGTGTGCTGCTGATATTCCTGAACGGCCAGTTGGTGGCGTAGTTCTACAGCGCTTTAGAAACAATACAAGAAACTTGTGCTATTCCTTGAATTTTAAGTCATCATTTCATGTCGTAAATGATGTTTCATGAGGTATTCACAACCATTACTCGGGAGTTTTAAGTACATAACTTTTTCATTAAATATGTGAAACTTGAACTGGATGACATTCCTGGAGTTTTTCTAAATGATTTGGAACATTCTACTAAATGTTGAATAAGTCTACACTACCGAATAATTGTATGTCTGCAATTATCAGGTGCTCAAGGATCATATTTATCTTTAAGGGTTTCAATGTAAATGTAATCAAAGCATTCAAGGAAAAGTCATGGTATTTCTGATAGATAGATAGATAGAATGTATGTTATTGATTTAATTTACATACTTAAATTCATATTACTAAGTATTAAAGATTGATTGAAGTCATGTTACATACATAACTTTTTCATTAAATATGTGAAACTTGAACTGGATGACATTCCTGGAGTTTTTCTAAATGATTTGGAACATTCTACTAAATGTTGAATAAGTCTACAGTACCGAATAATTGTATGTCTGCAATTATCAGGTGCTCAAGAATCATGTTTACCTTTAAGGGTTTCAATGTAAATGTAATCAAAGCATTCAAGGAAAAGTCATGGTATTTCTGAGACAGATAGATAGAATGTATGTTATTGATTTAATTTACATACTTAAAGTCATATTACTAAGTATTAAAGATTGATTGAGTCATGTTACACAGAAATAAAACTTTTATGACACTTTTATAACTTATGACACTTTCATGCTTCACCTCATCGAAATGTATCTTTATGATTATATATATACGTGTATATATATATATAGAATGTACAGCGCTCTCTTCCACCTTCGATACCACGACTGAGGTGCCCTTGAGCAAGGCACTGAACCCCCAACTGCTCCCCGGGCGCCGCAGCATAAATGGCTGCCCACTGCTCCGGGTGTGTGTTCACGGTGTGTGTGTGTTCACTGCTGTGTGTGTGCACTTTGGATGGGATAAATGCAGAGCACTAATTCCTAGTATGGGTCACCATACTTGGCTACATGTCACTTCACTAATAATATTCGTTATGTATGTATTTATGTAAACAGGCTATATAGGCCTATTGCTTGCTAAAGTCATGTTACACTGCATAAAAAATAACTTTTATGGCACGTAAGCGTGTTTAATTGAATGTGTATGCTGTTTATATTGCAGAGAGGCCGCGTGTTTCCTAACTCTGAACTGCAGTATTTTTCAGATGGTTTCGGACTGTCCACTCGTGTGTTCAGTGTTTCGGTGCGGATGCAGGTATTCACTGTTGCATCTCACATGCTGACCTCGTGTCTCATCCTCCCACTGCTGCGTCACGCTGGAGGAGGGCGAGATCTTTAAATATGGAACAAGACTCAAGTCGAGCGCGACGCGGGCAGGTTTACGCGCAACGTGGAGCGTTTTCTGACGGGACGGAGAGAGTTCGTGAGCCTGTTGCGTTATGACTGCTGGAGTGACTGAATGTACCGTAGTTAGACGCAGCAGCGAATTATCTCTGGCTCCAGATAAACAGAAGTGAGTCTCTGTATGTGCTCCTGCTTTTACGCATCCAGACACGCTGAACTTGGAGCGAATTCGCACTTGCGCATATTTTGGAAGTGTTTCTGAAGCCCGGACGCACTTTAATTCAGCGGAGGAGAAGAAAGCGTCTCCGGGAGAAGAGGACGCGCACGGCACGGTCAACATGAGCGACAAAAACAAGTGAGTACTTTTATTTGCATGTTATCTTCCCAGTCGAGATCGGTTGTGTCTCCATAAGTGGGTCGAGAACAGCCCTCCCACCCTGAATCTGTCCTGCTTCTTCACCAAAAAGTAAAGGTGTAACAGTATCCTTCAGGACAGAGCAACAGATCTGCTCCGAGTCTGTGCGGTCAGGGCTTCAAGTTTCAGGGACGGAGGTTATTATCTATTAAAGACATTAAACTGGGCTTTTGCATACGTTTGACAGCTCATGAACATCCTTAATGTTCAAACTTCATAATGGTTTCTTGCACTCTAATAGGTTCTAACAAGAACCACAAATGATAACTCTTCAAAAATAAAGATCATCTGGTTCCATGAAGAACTTTTAACATCCATGGAACCTTTCCATTGCACTAAAAGTTTTTAGAGTGGGAAAAATGGGTTCTTTAGATGTTCTTTTAGGAACCGTTTTCTGAAAATTTCTTTGGGGAACATGAAATGTTTCTTTTATGGTTCTCTTTTGGATTCTTTATTTTTAAAAGTGTAGGAGAGCAATTTGAGGTTCTACAGAGAACTTTTTGTTCTTCAGTTTTTTAAAACATCTGTGAATTTGGTGCTTCAGAAACCAATATGTTGAGCTGAAAAGCTGTTCTTGATCAACAAGAAGAACCAAAAGTGTTTAATTCCATAGCGTCTCCGGGAGAAGAGGACGCGCACGGCACGGTCAACATGAGCGACAAAAACAAGTGAGTACTTTTATTTGCATGCAATCTTCCCAGTCGAGATCGGTTGTGTTTCCATGAGTGGATTGAGAACAGCCCTCCCACCCTGCATCTGTCCTGCTTCTTCACCAAAAAGTAAAGGTGTAACAGTATCCTTCAGGACAGAGCAACAGATCTGCTCCGAGTCTGTGCGGTCAGGGCTTCAAGTTTCAGGGACGGAGGTTATTATCTATTAAAGACATTAAACTGGGCTTTTGCATACGTTTGACAGCTCATGAACATCCTTAATGTTCAAACTTCATAATGGTTTCTTGCACTCTAATAGGTTCTAACAAGAACCACAAATGATAACTCTTCAAAAATAAAGATCATCTGGTTCCATGAAGAACTTTTAACATCCATGGAACCTTTCCATTGCACTAAAAGTTTTTAGAGTGGGAAAAATGGGTTCTTTAGATGTTCTTTTAGGAACCGTTTTCTGAAAATTTCTTTGGGGAACATGAAATGTTTCTTTTATGGTTCTCTTTTGGATTCTTTATTTTTAAAAGTGTAGGAGAGCAATTTGAGGTTCTACAGAGAACTTTTTGTTCTTCAGTTTTTTAAAACATCTGTGAATTTGGTGCTTCAGAAACCAATATGTTGAGCTGAAAAGCTGTTCTTGATCAACAAGAAGAACCAAAAGTGTTTAATTCCATCAGAGAACCTGTTTAGTTTTCATGGTCACCTTTTATTCTCTACTTATTTACAAACCATATGAACTTGGTGCTTCAGAACCCCGAAAACAGTATGCTGAACCTTAGAGAGCCAGAAACTCTTCTTTATCAGCAACAAGAACCAAAAGTGTTTAATTCCATCAGAGAACCTGTTCAGGTTCCACAACCATTTTATTCGCTACTTCTTTAGAAAGACATCCATGTATTGATAATTTAGAGCCCAGAAATTAATATTCTGATCTGAACAACTCTAGATAATCAAAAACCATTTTGACTGAGAACAAGAACCTGCAATGAAACATCAAGAGCTCTTTGGCTCTCTGAAGAATCATACATTGTAGGAGAGTCATTTGAGGCTCTACAGAGAAACCGTGTGTGTAATTATTGCTTCAGATCCCAGAAACCAATATGCTGAACCTTAACGAGCCAAAAATTGTTCTTGATCAGCAACACAAATCAAAACTGTTTGTTTAATTCCATCAAAAATCTTTTTTAGGTTTCACAATCACTTTTTATTCTCTGCTTCTTTAGAAAAGCATCTGTGTATTGCCAATTTAGAGCTCAGAAATCAATATGCTGATCTGAAAAACCAACAAAGGCTCTCCAAAGAACCAGTTCAAGAAATCTAGATAACCAAGAGCTATTTTGCTTAAGAACAAAAACATACAATGGAACATCAAGAGCTTTTTGGCTCTCAGATAACTTTTTATTCTTCAGTTCTTTAAAACATCTGTGAACTTGGCGCTTCAGAGCCCAGAAACCAATAGGCTGAACCTTAGAGAGCCAAAAACTGTTCTTGATCAACAACACGAACCAAAACTGTTTAATTCCATCAGAGAACCTGTTTGGGTCACTTTTTTCATTAACTACATTATTAGAAAAATATGTATTTTAGAACCCAAAGGCTCCCCAAAGAATGATGTAGTAACTCAAGAGCCTTAGAAACCCAAGAACCAAAACTGGTTCTTGACTGAAGAACACAAACCTGCAATGAAACATCAAGAGCTTTTTGACACTCTGAAAAATCAAACCATTCCTGAACCAGAACATTTTAATAATCTAAAGAACCCTTTGTCCATTTGAAAGGTTCCATGGATGTTAAAGGTTCTTCATGGAAAAAAGATGCCAATAAAGAACCTTTATTTTTAAAAGTGTATAGCAAGTGAATGGTTCTTTGCTGAACCCAAGAACCACCTTTTTTTTAACTGAATGAAATATCTCATTGGGGTCTCTAGAGGCCATTAGTAGGGGGTTCCACCACCGACTCATGATGTATGATGCAGTTCACTCTTTTCATTCTAATGTTACTGCCAAGTCGTGCTGCTTTAAGTCGCCCTCTTTACAGGTTCCCTAAAGCCGCGGCTTGATCGGTCAACGTAATCTTTTTCCAAGAAGCTCCTGTCAAAACCAATTAGCTCCTTAGTGTCCAGAAGCAATGCGTGTGTTGCTTAGTGTTCCAGAAACCGGTGGCTGGATATAATGCAGGGGATTCGATCTCCTTTTAGTTCAGTGCAGCATGTGCTGTCATAATAAAAGAGCCAGCTGCCTGCAGGGATCAGATTTTTGACCAATAGGGCTCTTCAGATGTGAGTGGATGGATCATGTGATGTCTGCTTTCTTATGCAGTGCTAAGGACATTTAGATTTTTACGCTTTAATAAGCACTAATGTTTATTACTGGTAAATTAACCCTCACTAACAGTACTGTGATGGTAGTTAATGTATGGTACTGGATGATTGCCATATTCATATAATATGGTATTTAAATGGTGAATACTACAGTATAACCATGGTGTCATGCCCACAAAAATGGCAATACCATGGTACTTAGATATCTGCAAACAAGTACTTCAAAAATACCATTTTCCTTTGTACACGTACCATGGAACTACCATGTTTTTGGACATTTAGACCATAGTTGTACCAGTACAATGATATATTTCAAAGTACTGTAGTAATACCATGGGATAACATTTTTTATGTATACTATGGTATTGGTATGGTACTCAAACAATATCATGGTATTATCTAAAAATCTGGTATTATCATGGTACGTTTAAAAAAAACACAACAATTACTGCTACTTTGAAGATTACCGTGGTATAACCATGTCTAAACGGTTTTTATTCATATTTTTATACCATTATATTTATGAATACTTTAAATTAGCTTTTTTATCATTTCATTTTAATTTGAGTAATTTTATGTGTTTGTCATTTTATTCGTTTTTGTTTTAATTTTCTTTATTTCAGTTTTATTAATATTAGTACTTCAACTTATTTATTCAACTTCGTTATTATTATTATAATTATTCAATTTTAACTGTTACTCAATTTTTTTTAGTGTGTTTTTCATGTAATATTTCTTTTTCTTTTTTTTTATTACCAAAAAATAGTTTTTACTAGTTTTAGTTTTAGTTCCCAAGGCAACATTTTATTTATTTTTTACTTTTGCCAATTATTTATTTATTTATTTTAGTTTTAAGTAACAGTAACAACACTTAGTTGCCAAGGCAATATTAACATTTTTATTGAAGTTTAAGTTTTCAACTAATAATTATATTTTCTTTTCATTTTAATTACCAAAAACTATTTTCACTAGTTTTAGTTTTAGTTAGTGATAACAACACTTAGTTCTGTTTTTTTTCTGTAATTTTTAACTTTTTAAAATGTTTCATCTGATATTTATTTATTTTGCCTTTATTTTCATTACCAAACATTTTTTACTTGTGTTAGTTTTAGTTAAAGATAACAGCACTGCTAAAAATCCACGATGACACCATGGTACTTAAAAGTAGTGCAATACTGAATCTTTCACTATCTAAAGCTGTCAAACGATCCCACCACACCTGGAAGAACTATAAATAGCAAGGATTTCTTAAGAAAAATGTGTAAATGTTCCTCATTCCTATTCTGGACACACACAGGCTTAACTGTCTTTGTGTGCGAGAGCGTTGCATAAGCGATCACTCTCACCTGTTGAGCTATGTGACTGCTCTTTCCCCTTCCATTGACTATCTGAAGCACACAGACAGCACACAGCTTCCTGCTGTTTAGTGTCACCTGTGCAGGTATTGTGAAAGGAACTTTCATAGGAAGATAAGTGGAAAATGCAGAGTCACAGTGGAATGTCCTCAGTAGACTCTGCCCTCAGATATGCTCTCCATGACTCCTGATATCTCTTTTCTTCTCCTTGAGACTGAGGTCATCTGTGAGTGATGGACA